ACACAATGTCATTAAGTTTAATCCAGCAATCTAGAAAATAATGCTTTCATGACCATGTTGAATTTATGTAGTTATGCAAGTGGATTGTCATTAGAATTTCTATCAATGGAGGTTATTCCATTAACCTTTTAGGAATTCTTTTTAAGCCATAAAGTTGCAGCTATTATTACCTGTACACTGTTTGCATAAAACTGGGCTTGTCAATACCCTGACGTGAAAGGGGAAGGGACTTACAGGGCCCTCTCTGGGGAAGTTAAAAGTTTATAGGAGAGAGAGAGGGAGGGAGAGAGAGGGGGAGAGAGGGAGGGAGGGAGAGAAATTCCATGTTCTTAACCACTGAACTCTGCCACCTGAGAGAGAGAGAGAGAGAGAGAGAGAGAGAGAGAGAGGAGAGAGATTTTCTTCAGTAGTATGGCCAGTGGTAGCCAGTGGTAAGGTGCCCATGTTAAAACAGAGAATCACAACTGGCCAATATCAAACTTCTGTCTCCAAAGGATCAGGGATCATTGCAGAAGAGGGGGCAGAAAGATTGCATGAGCCACAGGAAGTGGGTGGCCATAACAGTTTTCCAGACATTCGGGAAGTCAGTCATATGAACTCACAGCAAGGGTGACAATATGCACAAGACCCATGTAAGCAAAAACCAGACAAAATCCAACACAGACATGGGGGACTGGGTAAGAAAGACCAACCCTACTGGAGAAACTATTAGCAACTGACGGCTGCTGCTGGGAGGGGGAGAGTCTGTCTCATTTAAGGGTGAGACTCCATAAGTTGACCAGGCTCCAGTGGATGGACCCACACCGGAAGGCAACTGGGGACACAAACTTCACATATACTTCCAGGTACAGGGAATTGGGTGGAGAGCACTAACAGGGGAACATATAGAGAGGGGATCTAAATATGATCAAAATATATTATACGAATTCACAAAAATTCAACTTAAAAACCTTAAGAAAAACTCAATGGTTCACATAAAAAAAGACATAAATCAGAAAGGCGATTACTTGGGGAGGGGATTAGAGGAAGCAGGGGACAAGAGAGGGAAGCAGGGGTTGCAAATGATTTAAATATATTATGTACATGCATGATGTAATCATTATATTAATAATTAATCATGATATAACATATGCCAATTAAAACATTAAAAAACATGAAATCATCTTTCTAGATATGTGAAAAGCATTTGATAAAATATCTCCTGAGAAGACAGATGCTATATAATCAATGGAAAATTTGTTAAACAGCAGTTAAGACAAATTGAACTCATCAACAGTAAGTAGATAAGCAATAAAAATAATTTTAATACACTGGATAAAAATATTAAATTAAAACAATGCAATACAATACTTCCTTTATCTATACTTCCTGTAAAACAACATACATTTTCTAATTTCTTTTATGAAGTTATCATGGTAAAGACTTTAAGCAACAATCAGTAAGTGAAACAGCATGCTACTGGCATGAGATCATGGAACATAATTCTAAAACTCACATACCCCTGTGGAATACTACATTTGATCTTAGCCAAATGACTGAGACAGGATCAAACGGGTTATAAAAAAGAGGAAGGAGTGTAAAACAATTGGGAAATTTTTTAAATGAAGCTTAACTGTATTTCAACTTGTTAGACCAATGCATTCTCCAATACAAAATTTAATGAAAATGTCAGGAAAAAATAGGCAAGTATTTATGTAATCTTACATGCATTGTTTATGTGCTTGTGTGCATGTGTGCATATGCATGGGCATGTGTCTGTGCACATCCACATTGAGTGTCTTTCTCAATCATTTTCCACCTTACTTTTTGAGACAGGGTCGTTCACTCAACCTGGAGCTTGCCAGTTCAACTAGGTTGGCTGGCAATCAGGCTCCATAAACCTTCCTATCACTATCTCTTCAGTGCTGGGGTGAGAGGCATGCACTCGTTTTTTATGGGGTTGAAATCAGGTTCTCATATTTGCACAGTAAGCAATTTACTGACTGAGCCATCATCCCAGCATGTTGGGTGATCTTTGGATGGTACTAACCCAAAGCAGAAAGCATAAGAAGATTAACAGATTGTATACATAAAAATATGAAGCAGTATAAAATAAACAAGGATAACTATGCTTAAAAAACAAATGGGTGAGTAGAATTAGAATTAACATGAAATGCACCAATTATGATCTTACTATAAAAGTTACCCTTATCAATCCATAAGAAATGAACCAATACCAAATTGGCAACAAACTTAAGGCCATGGATAGCCAATTAAAGAAATCAACTTGAATTTAATTCACATGTGAAAAGTTGTTCACTGTCAGAGGACAGTTTGCTATAGATAAAATTTATTTTAGTGCCCAGTAACAGTATTATAAATAAATGACTTTCACTCCTTTGACATTATCAATTCATATATTCCTAGGAATCAAATTAAACACATGTATTAAAATTACAACTTATACCCTTTGGCCTAGCAATTCCACTTTCCAGGGTTTTACAATCAGAAAGCAATTGAATACATGACAATTATACCTCATATACTTGAAAAAATTATTTCAATTAAAAGCCAGACATGGTGGTTCGTGCATTTAATCCCAACACACAGGAGGCATGGACAGGTGGATCTCTATGACTTCCAGATCAGCTTGGTGTACATAATAAATTCCAGGCCAGCCAGTGCTACATAGTGAGACCCTGTCTCAAAAACACTTATAGGAGTTCAAGGTTGCCTATATAAGAATGTTAAAAATGTCTGTGTGTATAGACTATCAACATGTATATGTAGATTGCAATATATATGCATGATGTTAGGAACAAACTAAGAATTTTCTATATAAAATAACAAAAATGATCAAATAATTCAGATATATTTATCACAATATAATTTTGCTATTTAAATTTAGTTAAATATCTAACTATAAACACAGAAATACAGTGCATAATGTTGGTATTCAAGAATAAGCTGCAAATCAATGTACAGAATATTACTATTTTGTAAAAATAATGTTTTAACCTTACATCTAAGCATATTTTTTTAGGTGTGTGGGTGTGTGTGTATTTGGTATGAGTATGCACACACACGTATAAGCGCCTATGGAAGCCAGAAGAGGGCATCAGATCCCTTGAGGCTGGAGTTACAGGTGGTTGTGAGCTGCCTGACATGGGTCCTGGGAACTGAACTCGGGTCCTCTGCAAGAGCAGTAAGCTCTCTTAACTGCTAAAGCATCTCTTCAGCCCCCAAACTCTAAAAATTATGAGAAAGGATACCCAGAAGATGGTGCAGATATTTGTTCAATCATGGAACAACCCTAAATGTAGTTTATAGTCACAAACTGCCAAAAGCAAAGATCTTGAGAGATGGATAGTGCAGAATGGCAGAGATTGGACAGAGCAGTGATTCTGTGTAGAAGTCATTGAACTGGACCAAGACAAACTGATGTGATAGATGAAGCACTTTGTGGGCTTAAATTCTTCCACCAGTTAACTAAGGGAAAGTTACCTGAATCATTCAGATGAGTTGGTAATACACCAAAGTTCCTTCTATAGCCATATATTCCTTGGTGTTCATGATTTCAGGCTGGTTTAATCTTTGGTATTGCAAACAGTTATATTTAGGAAATAGGATTTATTACAAGAACAAAGTAGAATTGAGAAAGTAACCAGTATTGCTCTCTAAGCTTGAGATTTAAAAACATACTGACACCCTTGCTCTTCCACAAAAATTTACTATTTATATTTAGGACCTTTTCCATTAAAGTCTGTTGAATTACATTCACATAAATACAAGAGAATTTTCTTATGTCTGCATAAAAGATGTCAGTATCTAATTAGATATGATGCTTACATTGAAAGAGCTAATTTGCATTCTTATATAATATAAAATACATTAAATTTTGTCTTTAAGAGAAGTTTTTCAAGGTTTTAAAGCTCATATAAGTAATCGTGCTATGTTACAACGTGCAGCTCAGTTATAGGTTAGTGCTTATTCAAAACCATGCCCCAAAACTTGTAAATCACTCTACAATTTTCAATAGTTACTTAAAATTTTCTAAGTCTTGAGAAATTATGTATTCATAAGGGTCATTCAGTATGGAATTGAAATAATGAAGTTTTATGGAATGGTAAAATTTTGCTGATGCTTTGGAAGAAAAAGTATATGGATAGCGTACAAAGGGTCATAACTCTATCAAAATGTTCAACCTTGTCACCTTAGATAAAACAAAAACTTAAAAAGCTCTCTAATACTTCCACCTTAGTTTCTGATGAAGAAGCTGATTATTTTCAAAATCTTTGCAAATTATAAGATGTTCATATCTCAATTCTGAAACTTAGTGTATAATAAAAAGTACTAGACTCTGGACATAAAAGATATAGACACCAATGAAAAGTGAGTTCTTCCTTTAAAACAGGATACAATTAGAACTTTAAATTCTTATCTTAAATTATCAGGACCATTCCCTTATTTTCTAATGATGATCAACATTTACATGGTAAAATTGAGAAACATTTATTATCTAATGGATACAGTGTAAGCGTAGGAAGTACTCTATGAATTGATACAGATTCATCTTTTACTTCACAATGAATACATCAAAACATCTTTAAATAAACATGGCTATAGAAGATAGAATGACATATTTATGAGTTTTCTGCATTTTTACTGAAATTACGATCGAATCACTAATCTTTTCTTTTTTGTATTACTATTTCAAAAATAAACAAAGCCTAACCTTGAAGGTTTTCACTTTAGCGTCTCTTTTTCTTTATAAACTACTGCTTTACCTAGTACAAGGCATTAGTAATTCCTCTTTCACAATTATTTTAAGGTGGTTGAGTTTTATTGAGCTTACTAACAAATGCAAAACATTTGGTATTCTGGGTTTTTCTCTGCATGTCCATCCCAGATACAGGATATTTCTTGCTTCAAATCTCGGTGCACATATGTAAACACAATTACTCAAAACAAGGCAACAAGTGAGAGGCAGGGTTAAAATAAGAACTCAGGCATCGACTCACAGTCCAGGATTCAACCCCCTCTAACTTGCTGCTTTTCTTTGTCCTCTTTGCTGTGAATCAAGACACTTGTTCTTTAGCAGGGCGTTTCTGCTGCAAATCCAGTTTCTACTGCATTATGCAATGAAGTCAGAAGCCTGAGCTTGTGACATCAATACAGGTTACTATGGTTACTCTTTCCATAAGTAATACAGGTTCAGTGTAGGCTCAAAAAAGGGGACTTCAGCAGAGGAGCAAAGTAGCTAACACTTTCAGCTTAAATTTTAACAATAATTGGTGGGAAAACGTTTTCCAATTCTTATAATCTGTAATTTTACATCAATGTTTTACGTAGTTATTGAAAATCATGTCTCAAATATATCTATTATTTTAAATGAAACTTCCACAATAGCAATAGCAATGCTACTGACTGTCTGGTGTAACACATCTAACATGATCCATGCAAAAATATCTCACTGCAATATAGCAAAAAATTCCACACACTTTGTCCTTACAGAGGTCAGGTAATCTTATGCATTGTCTGTTAACACAGGAATTATGAAAAGGCTTAAGTGTTGCATGTGTGAGAGCAGTTTTAGAAGTCTATTTTTAACAAAGCAATAAGGGAGTAAAGACTGCCTTTTCATTGCATCAGTCCATCCTTATTTTCCTAAAATGTTTCCTTAATGCCTCAATTTAAACAGTTAAATGCATTTGCCTTTGTAGGCTTTATTTAAAAAGAATCTTGAGACTTCACATTTTTGAACCTGAATTTGAAGCATATAGCACAATCATTTTAAAGACTGGACTTCCTTCTTCCACAGATTCTTTGTTTTTAATCACTCACCATCTTCAGCAATAGGATCTTAATTCAATTCTGCAAACGCTCTTGAGCTGAGTGCTGAGGTTACAACCTGTGGGGCATAAAGTGTAAGATGGATAAGACATAGACCCTCCTGTAAAAATCTCATGCAAGAAGTCAATAATCACAACAGTAATAGTAACAATGATATTTTTAAATGCTGCTGCCATGTGCCAAGCTCTATACTAAACTACATACATCTCAGTACCCGCTCATTCAATGACGAAGGGTACAATGTATCTCTACAGATAAAACTGAAGGTGAGACTTTCCTGAAATTACAGTTACTAAGGAATGGCAGTAATATTTGAACTTAGTGCTGACTCCAAATCTGTGTGATGTTTAAACGGAAATTAAGGATAATGTCCTATTACTCATTATTTAAAAATTGAAAGGTGGACTATGATCACATTGAGCAAGAGTTCTCAATGAAGATGAATTCATCAGAGCAGAAAGAAAAAGATAATTTTGTAGTTGAGTTAATAAATACATTTGATGGTTAATTTTCCTGTTTTATGACATTTAACAATATAAAGAGTGTTTTCCTAAAGATTCTGTTTTATGCTTTAGTTAGAAATGAGAATATACAGCCAAGTGTGGTGGTGCACACCTTTAATCCTAGCACTTGGGAGGCAGAAACAGGCAGATTTTTGTGAATTCCAGGTCAGCCTGGTCTGCATAAGAGTTTCAGAGCATCTGAGTCCACCAGGAGACCCTATCTCAAAGAGAGAGAGAGAGAGAGAGAGAGAGAGAGAGAGAGAGAGAGAGAAATGAAAATATACAATGGGAGAAAGGGTAGATTCCTCAACAAAAGCAGGAGATACATATACAAAAGAAAAGCACCCTCTTCAAACACATTCACACACAAAAAATCAACTAAAAATGAATTAAAGACTTAAACATTAAATGTAAAAACTTTAAAGTCTTAAAAGACAAGAGAGGCTTTGGGGAGTCAGCTCCACTAGTGGACCCTGTTCTGGGAAATACTTTCTCTGTCTTATAAACATCCCTTCTCCTGACCCTCTAGGCAACCCCACTCTCACACTAGGCCTCTACTTCTGCCAAGCTGCTCTGTTGATGAATATGCCTGCCTTCTTGGACCCTAACTCAAAAAAGACATGACTTTCTTCCTTCCTCTTTTCTGTCTCTCTCTTCCTGCCTGCTACCAAGATGCAGCTTGCTACCCTGACGTTTTCTCTCTAGCTCTAATAAAATGACCCCTGAGCTTAACAAAAACAGCAAAAAGAATGTTGGACAAAAGTTCCTTGACATCTGTCTAAGCATGAGTTTTGGGATTTGATACAAAGGACACAGGCAACAAAAGCCAAACTTGAGGATTGAGTGAGACCTCAAAATCTGTGGACATCGTCAAAACAGGGGGAAGCCACTTAGAAAATAAGATGAAATATTTGTAAGTTCTACATCCAATAAGCACAAATATCCAAAATATATTTCATACATCTCAACAGGAAAAATAATAACCCAGTTACAGAAAGGTAAAATTATCTGAACAGACATATAAAGACAAGTAAATGACCAGGCAGTGTATGAAAAGACGCTCAAATCAACAACCACCAGAGAAGAGCAAATCAGAAGCACAGGGAGCTATCATCTCACAAAAACATAACAAGTATTAGTAAGGATGAAGATAAAAGGAACCTATTTGCATATTGTTGGTGGGAATGCAAGTTGATGCAGTCATTGAAATATGTGGAGGTTCCTCGAAATAATGTATTCAACAATTGTATTTATGGTACTAGTTACAAAAAATGAAATAAGTATCTCAAAGATAAATTTTTAATTCTATTTTCATTGCAGCATTACTTACAATAGAGAAGATGTGAAAAAATAACTAAATATTTGCCAATCAATAAATGTATAAAGATGTGAGGGGCACACATACGTGCAACTGAATGTTATACATATTCTTGAAATGAAAATTCTGTCATTTGTTACAGTACAAATGAACCAGAACATCATGCTAAGTGAGAGAACCAGACAGGGAAAGACAGTTTCACTAACATGCAGAATCTAAGAAAGTTGATCTCAAACCACTGGAGAAGAATGATTACCAGGAGGTGAAGGGTGAAAGAAAGAAATGAGGAGCTACTGGTCAAAGTGTGCAGATATTCAGCTACAAGATGAATCATCTCCAAGGCTAGAGAGATGGCTCAGTTGGTAAAATGCTTCTTGTACAATCATAAAGACCTGAGTTGGATCTCTAGCAACCATGTAAAACTAGGGTGCAGTGGGGTACACCTGTAATTACAGTGCTCAGGAGGCAGAGACAGTACAAGCCCCCAGACTTGCTATTCCAACTGAACTGGTGCACTCCAGGTTCATTTCTTTTTCTATTTATTTGGGGGGGCCAAATTTTTGCAAATATTATACAATATATTTTGATCATATTTAGACAGCTTCCCTATTAGTATTCCTCTTGTAGCTTCCCCTCTGCCAGATTTCAAGTACTCTATCATATACATTAAGGCCTGTTGAGTTAGTGTCCCCAAATGTCCTTCAGTGTTTGTCCATCCACTGGAGCCTCGTTAATCTATCTAGCTTCACACGCTTAAAGAAAACTAACTCTCTCTCTTCTGGGAGTTACTGGCTACAATAGTTCCTAAGCTAAGGTTGGGGCTTCTTACCCACTTCCTCACTTCCATGCTGGGATTTTTGTCTGAACTTGAACTTGCATGGGACTTGTCCACGCTGTCACCATTGCTGTGAGTTCATTCAAGTAACTGCCTAGATGTCTGGAAAACTCTGTTTCCCTATGGTTATCCACCACCTCTAGCTCTTACAATCTTTCCACCCTCTTTTCCACAATGATCCTTGAGCCTTGGGTGCCAGAGGTCAATATAGGTGTTCTATTCAGGGATAAAAACTCCACAGTCTCTCATTCTTTGCACGTTGGCCAGTTGTGGCTTTTTGGGTTAACTGCATCTGTTGCATGGGGAAATTTCACTGGTGAGAGTTGAGAAGTTCACTAATATTCTTTCCACCCCCTGTTCCTCTGTGTTCCCTTAGAGTTCCAGGTTCTTTACACACACACACACACACACACACACACACGCACACACAGGATGCATAAGTTCTAGCGCTCTGAAGTACACCATGGGGACTATAGATAACAATAGTATTTCATGTATTTGGAAGTTGCTAAATATCCTCTAAGTCAGCCTCAGTATATACATATGTGGTTCCTATTAATATTCATGCAAAAAGTTTATTTCATGAGATTATTGGCCACATATTTTCATCATTTACCGTGTGAATAGAGTTTCCTTTGGACATTGCAGATTCAGACACTTGGAACTGTTTCAGTAAAAACTCTTGTAATCATAAGATATAAAGTAAGATTTTGCTACTTGCCTACGTAGAATAAATCGTTTTCTTGCTTTTTACATGTCTTTCAATAAGACAATTCTAGCAAAGAGAGTGAAAAATGAAACTATTTCTTTGTATTAAGCAAAATTCTTCCAGTTGCGAAGGAGAGAAACATAATATATAATTAACTTAAGCAAAAATGAAAGGTGATTCATTAACTCATAGAACTAGACTATGGATCAATCTGGCTTGAGTCACAGCTGGAGCCAGGGGTTTAGTGGTATTAACAAGTCTTAGTCTCTTTTCATCCAAGGGTTCAACTTATTTTCCAAAGCTATAGACAAACCATCTGCACATGGTAAAAATAAATCTACCTCTAATTTCAATTTTATGTTAAGCAGATTTGTGCATCAATTAAATAAGGATTTTTCAAGATCCTCCCACCTAAAGACCCTGTGGTGCCTTGTACCTCATATAGGTAGCACCACTCACCCTCTAACACCTGAGAAGAGTTCAGAACTGTTCACCTCCCACATGTAGCACAGCCCATCTTGCAGACCCTTACTCATGACCACCTGAGGACATACCACCCACAGGCCTCCTGACTACATCCAGGATCTGCTATCCCCAGCCTTTGATAGAGCAACTAGATTTGGAGAGTCACACCACAAGACAGCAGAAGAGAGAACCAACACAGCATGTGCTGGCCTTGGGATAATGTCTGTTCAGGCCAAAGTAGCAAACACAAAAGACAGAGGTAGAGATTGTAGCCTAGGATACAAGTTTCATAAGAAGGAAAGAAGGTATTAACCCTCTTACAATTTAATCCTGTCAGAAAGGCAATTTGAGCAAGAAAAAAGACATAACTAACAAACTACTTCAAATGTTCAAGTCCCAGCCCAGAAGCAAAAGAAACACAGAAAACCAAGACCACATGTC